ACAAAGATGTGCATTTATATAATAACACAGGGAAAATATTGATCAATACTACTACTGTGCAGCCTTTCTACATTGACATCATCTTAAAAGAGTACTATATTAATTAATATATTAGTTGAAAGGCAGGCAAAAGGGGATTGATAGAAGGCATCTGATGATTCCAATTATGTCATGATATATTGTTTATCATTGTACAGTTTGGTAGGTTCATTTGACAAACAATTTTCAAGATACAGTAGCTCATTAAATCAATTTACACGCAGTATCACTATATATCTATTGATAAAGTTTGGGGTCATGTGTACCCAGTTAATACTTATAGAATTTTAAAACTCAGTGCTTGTTGTGCATTAGTTTACTGGTTTCCTGGTCACAGGGCAATATTCTCAGTAATTCAGAGTGTGGGCTAGCCACCATGCATGCAGTTCATATCAAAGGCATCTATTGCTAGGGGCGAATAAAATTGGCATACTGATGCCAACAACACTGTCCACACAGAGTAAGATTATAGCAGCATAAGACAGAGTTGAATATAAATAAGTTTACCCACTAGAGCACAAAATACCTTTATGCACCATTCTAATGCTAGAAGATTTTACTCATGGAACATTGGAAATTAGTGGAAAGGTGGTTAAGAAACATAATAACACTGTCTAACTAGTGGATCACATTGTATACACCCAAGTGTGTATTACACGTAAGTGTGTATTTGCGTTGTCGTGATTTTTTGCCGAAATGTTTTTCAATAGAAAAGTTAAGGCTACAAGAAACAAAGTACTGACTATTTTTGAATGGAGACTTATGTACCACTGCTTCTATTACACTTGTACAAGCAATTTTCTTATATGGAGAAATTATGTTGTTTTTGCGATATAGGTTCAAGTTTTTACGTGTTTTCCAAAAATGCAGCAAATAATTTTGTGACTCTGATGTATGAATTGGAACAAAAGAGTTTGCTCAGAACGCAGGAAATCGCATTTCCGAGGTTCTAGATTTCAAAATTTCCCGGGGGAGGATACCTCCGGACCCCACTACAAATGCGAGGTTTTAAGCATCAGTCAGCTTGGGAACTGGATCCGCCCCTGCGTTGAGGAGATGGACTTAATTACAGTTTTCTGTGCATTCTTCAAGTGATTTTTCACCCACACAGTACTTCTTACCGGCACTTTGTGTACACCCAGCTACGATGCAAGTAAATGGGTGTTGCATGACTGTCACGAAAAGAGTTTGTTGCCCAAGATTACGGTTTCGATATGCACGAACAGCCAACTTTCGGCGAAGACGATTACGTACTTGTATTTGCAAACGTTTTACCGCAGACGTTACATTCGTGAGACATGTTTGCTCCTCAAGAGTCGGAGTAAAATGATTTAAGGCAAGCATGATAAGGCATATTTATTCCAGTGACTATAGTTTATGACTATGATGACCATAGTCCATGACTATGATGACCATAGTCCATGAGTATGATGACCATAGTGACTATAGTCATGACTATTTAGACTCCATCGATGACTATGATGACTATTAAGACTATAGTCATGACTGTTTAGACTATACTCCATGATGATGATGACCATAGTCCATGACTATTAAGACTATCATTATGACTATTTAGACTATAGAATTTTTTGTTTTTAAAATGACCAATAACAAGTTTAAATTTTTAATTTAATTTAATACGACATTTCGGAGTTTACTCCATCATCAAGTAAAAACTACAATTATTATTATTATTAATTTATTATTACTACTATTATTATTTTTTACCTGATGATGGGAGTAAACTCCGAAACGTCGTATTAAATTAAATTAAAAATTTAAGCCTAATTCAGGCTTGTTTTTGGTCAATATAAAAAACAAAAAGGATTTATTATTAAAATAAAGCTAAGAGAAAGTTCGATACTAAATATTTGGACAAACGTCGTGACTACTAAAACTGCAGTCATGACTATTAAGACTATAGTCGTGTTTACACTACTAGCCTTGGCCTAAATTTTGACAGTGTAAACAGACCATGACCTGACCTACTGTAGGCCAGGAAATCTTGGCTCACTATACAACCGGTGGTCTAGGCCTGGCCTAGGCTTGTGGACATGTAAACACTTTTGGCCCTGGCCTGGGCTTTATTTCCATGGCAACGTTTGCCCACAGTGAGAGATAAGCGGCCAACCAGCGGACAACGTCACAACACATTAAAAAACACAAAATTAATTACAAAATTCTTGGCCAAAGTGAGTCAGTCTCAAAAACAGTGGAATGGTGTAAACGCGCCACATTTACCTTAATCTGGCTAAGGTCAGGCCAAGGCTAGGCTAAGGCTTGTAGTATAAATACGACTTGTGATGAATCGGATAGCGAAACGTCTCAAACAAGTGACAATATATATTGGAAACATAACTTTGTAAACGTTTTGAAGAAATAAATGTGTTTTACGCGCTAAATGGAAATTCAAATAACGATTGGGGACGAGTCTGTTCCGTTGGGTCGTAGCCGGTGTCGATATAAACATGTTATAGACTAACTTTTACAAGCAGTTGATCTATAGCCTATGTCATTCATACAATAATCGGACCTGATTGTCAACAATTAGGATAAATATTACAGTAAGATATGTAGGCTTATCGCGTCACAATTATGTGAAAACAGCAAGTGTTTGTCAGTGATTAGTCTCTATCGCAACCGCTATGTGGGGACGAACGACACAAAGAACGGGTACGAGAAAGACTAAATGGCATAGAGAACAGTATGTGATTTTCAAACCAGTAAAAAACAATGGAACACATAATTAATACTAATCACTGCGCATTTATCAAAAACTGTAAAAGATAGAGACTTTATTGCGTCATACTTTATTAATTGATCGTTACAAATAAATCAAGATTACATAGTTATAGCAAAAAAGGATGATCTTTGGCCTTAATGAACGACCCTTCATTTATGTTGACATATCAAGAATCTCCATATTCTGTCCCTATCAAAATAGGAAAGAAAGATTTCAAGAGAAGTGCGTGGCCCACTCATTCATGCAGCACTGAAGACACATATAATATATATAATCACATCTACAAGTGTTAATATAACTGTATATCAATACGGAAAAATGTTTTATATATTTTTATAATATAGCACAAATAAATAATAATAAATTCCGTATTAACATTGAGTTTCATCAACACGGCTCTCAGCGTTCAGAATTTACAAATGATATAGCCTATATTTTAAATTTATATATTTATCACGGAAGCAGTTATTTCGCTGGCCTCAAATACGAAGATCTACGAAGCTCATACGAATCCTTATGCAGAGACCGCGGAACTGGGGGGCCGGAGGCCATGCTCCCCCCCACTATAAAAATATTACCAGATAAAATACAGCCTGCCTGCGTGGCATAGCTCCCGTGCTTTCCTGCACCCCCTCCCCCCCCAACACACACACACTATTCAAACTATTGGGGACTTGCAGCAAATAGTTGTTACTTCGAAGTTGTATAATGGTAAGTCACATACTTTTTTGACAGTCAAATATATCAAACAAATATAAGAAAATTTGAATAATGCATATTTTATAATTTGAAAAATACCATGCAAGTTTAGGGTTTATATATGAATTACAGTTGTTTTTAGTTTTCCTAGCACACTGATATTGGTTTTTTATATTAATGCACAGTATAGAATTACCCTAGTCCATCTACTCTTATAGTTATAGTATTAAGGATAACTTTAACATGTAAAGTCAGGAAGAAAAAATATCAGTGGGTAAAAAGACAAGGCACTGTGTTTTGATAATTAAGGGACCATAAATCATATTATTTGTCTAAGACTAGGGGGGGGGGGGGGGAGGGATAAGATCTCATGATCATTTCAAACAATGTGAAGGTACATAGTGACAAAAGAACTGAGACATAAACTGAGTTGACACATATCATTCCTTTTTGAGTATACCAATACACCTACAATTTTGTAATTTCTACTGGAGACCTCTAGTGCCACAAGCATACAAGGCCGGGGGAGGGGCAAAGAGGGGGCTATTGATAAAGCCAAAATGCATTAAACTAACCCAAACTCTATGGCCAAGTATTAAATCTAATAAACGCAGGCATCTCTTTGTCCCCGAGCCAACGGAGCGCCGTTCCGGGCGTAAGCCCGGGCTAGGGTACTAATTCCGCCCGGCTATTTACAACCGGGAAAACGAAAGCACTAGCGATGTCTGAAGTTCATCAATAATCGTTAACGGAGGTAGGTTTGTAATAAATATTGATGTTTTGTTTGCTTTATAATTGCTTTAAAAGATGTTCGTTGCCTATTTCTAAATGAAAAAAGACAGCATATAATTTCAGTTTTTCTTTATAGATTATCCTTTTTTAAATCGATTATCCTTAAAATTTAAAAAAAAAAAGAAAGCAAAGTTATTTGAATACGAGAATTTGAATCATTTTATTCCAAACTCAAGGTTTTTCGATAAAGGCAGTTTAGTTTTATCATGGATAATAATATATTTATTTTATTATCCATGGTTTTATAAAGTACATTTTAAAACGTCTCGCGAAGCGTTTAAGGTTGAATTTTACCTTAAATTAAAGCTTATATTCGGGATAATAACATACGTAACATATATATGTTTGGGGAATTGATAAGCTAATTTTGTAATTAAAAGTAATATATTTTTAGGGGATTTTGCATTTGTAAAAATATTCGTAACAAAATTATCGTGTTACCACAACAACTACTTTATATTCGGAAAATACAACGGTTTTGTCTGCAAGGGGAGTGGTTTATGTCTTTCAAAATGCAAAATTTTTCTTCCAAACATAAATAGCAGCGTTTTGACCCCCTGTGTACGAAATGGCGTGTTTTGAAATTGACCATTTGATGGTATAATCCTGATTGTTTTCTTTCAATTTCCAAATATGTTTCGAAAGTTCCGTTTTGTAAAATCTGTCTTCAAGTTGAATGGTTGTGCCAAAGAAATTCAACAGCATAACTATCCAAGTTGAAGACATTCAACGTCATAACTGTCCAAGCTGAAGACATTCAACGGCATAACCATCGAAGTTGAATCTTTATGCCGAAGACAGTTAAATGTTTTTATTATATACCAACAGTCAAAGTCGCATTTTTCTAGTGTTTTATTGGTCGAGAGCATATCACGTGAGAGTGACGAAATTAGACTGTCTCCCTCCCAACAGAAGGAAACAATACGTTTTCGACCGGCGAATAACGAAAAAAAATCACGTGCGTCATCACGTGAAGATGCGTCCTTTGGACATGCCTAGTAATTTAAACTTTCGCTTTAGGTAACTGCAGTGTTTATTTTAACGTTTTAACAATAAAATATTTCATGTATTTACGTTCATTTGTTCTTTAATTTGTTGTTTCGATATATAATAAAACACTTATTTACTGAGACCTCGGGAAAGCAGTGTGTTTTTTGCACCCTCGATTTGTGGCCTCGGTCCACAAAACACACTGTTCCCTCGGTCTCAGTAAATAAGTGATATAAATGCCGAAGACATTCAATTAGGCATAAACATCGAAGTTGATGGTTTGAATGTCTGTTGATGTACAATGGATCGTCATTGGGTTTCCTGTATGGTTTGTGTTTTGCGTTGTTCAGGTCGAAAGTAACATCCAAAAAAAATTTACAACGTTCAAATTTACTTCGGCGTGATTTTCAGGTCAAATTGCTCGAAAATTTTGTGTAACTCTTTTCTAGTTTTGTCTAGTAAACGGGCGGATTTGCTTTTTCAGCAATTTACTATAATATTATGAGTAAATTCTTAAACACGTCCGAATTTATCATTATGATAAATTCGCGGAACATTTTGAATTTATTAATAGAGTTAATCATAATACCACAAGCATTAGGCAAGTAATATTAATAATTCGTCATCGTATGTTTGCTCGACCATTTCGATCCATACGAACGATCTCGGATGCTTCCACAACAACCGGTTTCGTGGGCGACACAAGACAGCTATAAGACAGCTTCAACAAAACATTTCCTTCGCCTTTCTTTAATCCAATTCGGGAGTTTAACAGTGGTCTCACGACTTAATAATGAAACATTTTTCTTTCTTTTACTCCTTTGGAGAGACCATCTAATAATCATTTGCTTTAGGAGTTTTAAGCTTTCGCTGTTTACCGCCATATTTGAAATATCCCGCGCAAATTAATTAGTATTCAGTTTAGAGAGCTACCGCTTACATTTGTACTGAGGGCGCTAGGGTTCCAGAAAAAGTTTAGGGGTACTCGTTATAAATTTATGGCCCGGCATCCAAGCAAAATAATTGTGTGTAAACGCAAATTGGCGGGCCAGAAATACAGGTCCGCGGGCCAAAATTTAAGCGGGCCGTGCCAAAAAATCATGTCGTGTAAATGCGGCTATAATCTTTGGAATTCTGCAAAATCTCACCGCTAAAACGCTTTAAATCGCATTTCAGAGACTCTATGTTTGAAAAATCCTAGATCCGCCACTGTCGTGTATCGTATACAAATAAACAGGTCTGTTGCATCTTTGAGTGTGATTTTATCGGGAATAAATAGAAAATCTTCAGTGTGTAAAAATCTATCATTTTTAAGTTATAAAGACATGACAATTGCATAAACAGCCGATCAAAGAAACCGAAGTAAATATTTCATAAACTTACTCTTTTCCGTTGTCATGATAACTTTTTGCTCCAGTTAGAAAATATCCACCCGGCACTTTGTAGTCCATATAACCATTCCAGCCATTTATATTGCCAGTCCAAACACAACCATATTGGTAGTTATATGTAGTTTGGCAGCATTTGAAACTAAATCTTCTGTCTCCTTTACTTTTGGCGAATGTCGAGTGTACACCTTATTAATTGAAAATAATGAAATTAACACCGCCTTACCAAGTTCCACCTTTATAATTAAACTCTTACTATTATAGTTTTACTGTTTATTTCAACGTTCGAGTTGTCAACTTTTACTGTTAATGTTAGTGTTATAGTGTTATAGTGTTATAGTGTTATAGCGTTAGTGTTATAGCGTTAGTGTTATAGTATTAGTGCTATAGTGTTAGTGTTATAGTGTTATAGTGTTATAGTGTTATAGTGTTATAGAGTTATAGTGTTATAGTGTTATAGTGTTATAGTGTTATAGTGTTATGGTGTTATAGTGTTATAGTGTTATAGTGTAATAGTGTTATAGTGTAACAGTGTTATATAGTGTTATAGTGTTATAGTGTTATAATGTAATAGTGTTATAGTGTTATAGTGTTATTAATAGTGTTATAGTGTTATAGTGTTATAGTGTTATAGTGTTATAGTGTTATAGTGTTATAGTGTTATCGTGTTATAGTGTTATAGTGTTATAGTGTAATAGTGTTATAGTGTAATAGTGTTATAGTGTTATAGTGTTATAGTGTTATAGTGTTATAGTGTTATAGTGTTAGTGTTAGTGTTGCTGATATTAGGCTTTATATAATACCTTATAAAATTCTAATCGTTTAATTGGCTGTTTATGGTCACGTGATATTGAATAGAAAATTCCATTTCCCAAAAGTGCAATGGAACACGTTCCATTGCACTCTCCGGGAGTGCAATGGAAAAAAAACGTATAGTACAATTGCACTCTTTGTGTTTTCGATAAATCGCATCCCTCAAAATGCTTCTCATACGAATCTATTAGTCTATTTTGGTATTATATAAAACAAATAATGAATGTTTCTTCGTGCAATGGTAAGAATATTTTCATTCGGTGAAAGATGGAATGTTCCATTCAACTCGGCTGTCGCCTCGGTGAATGGAACATTCCATCTTTCACCTCATGAAAATATTCTTACCATTGCACTCATAAACATTCAATATTTGTATAATATATAGTAGCAGTAGACCATCTGAAATGGCATTTTAAGCCATTTTGCAGAGTTAACGTTGTTTTGCAGATTTTGTCATACCCAAATATTTCGGCGCAGAATATCGTATAAAGATTATGTTGTAAAAACAAGAAACCTTTCTCTTGATATTTCTTTGCTATAATTAATTATATGGGCACACGGCAGCATTTCCCCTTGCGTATATAGTAACTTCTATAGTAAACATATAGTAATTAGTACCGTTGCTGTTGCGGTTACTGTTACTGTTTCTGATACTGTTACTGACTTATAACATTGTTGTTGCTGTTTTTATTATTGTTACGTACAGTTGGTATTATACAGAACAAATTCAAAATATATTGACCTGTGATAACTCCATATCGGCATTGGTATAAGATTTCCTGGTCGAAATGATTCACATATCCAGACCATTTGCAGGCTCCCCGTACTATGCTATTATAACGGCAACTGAAAGACCAGATGCGGTCCCAATGACGTTTGTTGTGAATACTTCTCACACGATATATAGAATGACCTAAAGTGTTGATTTGAAAATAAGAGGATATATAGAGAGCTCAGTAGCTTGTTAACTATAGACTCATTGCACATGACGTCACAGCGCCGGTGACGATGCATCTGGAGGACAAATTATCAATGTATGCATAATATAACTTTTGTAAACAAAGCAACTTTTGTAAAAGTTTATAATAATTTTGTTTTAAAATGGTTAATTTTTGCTATGTATGTGGTTGTTGTACCCGGACAGATATTGTTAGGGAGCATCTGGAGGACACTCTAAGGATTTGTGACGTCAGTGCAGTGGGTCTATATTCGACTTCCTGTATGGATGCCTGCATATAGTGGATAGCTTTTATAAATTTGTATGACTACTTAGGTCTCCATCGCCTTAATTGTCTCCTTCCATGTATATTCTCGATCACTAGCTACCGTACACTGTATATACGTCCTCTTTCCCTGCCACTTACACCATTTTCGGTCCCGACGTTTTCCGTGACCTAAGTGGTAATCTGAAGTCAGATTACCGTCTATGAGAACACGGAAACAAAGCGGAAAATCATAGGGTACTATGAGGCTGCGCACACTGGAGCTATGTGCTCAGCCAAATGTCACACGTGCCCAATGGCGTAAGAAGATAGCTCTCGTGTGCGGGCGATTTAATTACGAGCGACTTTTGTCATTCGTGCCACTTATGGCAAATATCTAACATGTTTGATAATTTCTACCTCGCGTGCCAAAATCTTTCCATGTGCGCGAACGAAAGCTATCTGTTACGGATTGTCGTAACAGCGCATGCGTAGTGTACGAAAGTAAACATCCAAGATGGCGGCGCATAATGAATTGCTGGCTGAGTCAATTTTAGAAGACAAACTTGTCGTGATAATGCTGTTCCAACACCTTGTCTACAAGATATGTTTTCAACAGGCTTGTAGCAAGCTTGTAGACAAGTTGTTGGAACAGCATTATCACGACAAGTTTGTCTTTTAAAATTGCCTCAGCCAGCATGCAATTCATTGTGCGCCGCCATCTTGGATGTTTACTTTCGTATACTACGCATGCGCTGTTACGACAATCTGCAAGCAGATAGCTTTCGTTCGCCGCACATGGAAAGATTTTGGCACGCTAGGAAGAAATTATCAAATATGTTAGATATTTGCCGTAAGTGGCACGAACGACAAAAGTCGAGTCGTTCGTAAATCGCCCACACACGAGAGCTATCTCCTTAAGGCTATTTTCCATTAACGGTCGCTTTGCCCGCGCGGGTTGAGCGACCAATTTTAATCACGTGAAAAATCAGTCGCGCGGGCTCACCAAGAAAGTTGAACGTAGTTCTACTTTCATGGCGTGTCCACGAGTAGTCAGACAGACATAAAATGAACAGATTAGACAACTACAGAGAAAGTTGAGTAATTTTCGCTCCGCCCGCGCGGGCAAAGCGACTGAAATGGAAAATTGCCTTTACGCCAACAGTCACGAATGACATTTTGCTAAGCACATAGCTCTAGTGTGCGCCGGGCTTAAGGGAACATGCAATGGTGAAATTTTTGTGGGGAACGGAAACAAGAGAACACAAGATCCCCTGGGAGCTGAGTCGCGTTTATGGCAAGGCTGTTCAGTAGTTTAGATTTATTTTGTTCCAGTAAACCAATCAGTTAAGACATGAATTTGAAATATTTAAAAATCTGCATATGGAACCAGAAAAATATAATGGTTTATAACATGCATGTTTTCAGTTTTTCACTCTAAGACAGCCTTGTTTATATTTCCAGGTATTCTTACGATAAAAATATGCGAATATAACAACTGATCCAATTTTGGGAATTAAAAAACGACAAAAATTCTAAAATATCAGCTCGAATATATGTTATAGGTTATAATAAACATAAGTCGGAACACTGAAAATCTGGACATTAATTTGAAATTTAGTAAAAGATTACCAAATCAATGCTATACGACTTTAAGACTAAGTTTTATTAAATAAAATTATAAAATGTTAAAACATTTATTAACATACCACTTGCACACTCTTCTGTCCATGGTTTAACATATGGTGTCAAAGCACCAATGCTTATTATGTGAACAACAAGAAAGAAGGATACCAAAGTGACTTGTATCATTGTCCTTTACTATACAGAAACATATATAGTTCTCTTTCATTTATATTGTTTACTTTGAAGTTCCGTATAGGAATCTATCAATTTGGTTTACGAAATGTTAGGGCATGCATGCCGATACACATACACATTACATCATGATTGCATTTACATACAGGTATGTCTACGAGCAAAGCAGAAAAGTCGAATACGAGCGCGAAAGGCTGCTGGGAATGGCTAAAAAATAATGAATTTTCATAGCAATTCCCAGCAGCCTTTCGCGCTCCTATTCGACTTTTCCGCTTTGCTCGTGGAAACCTTAATTGAAATAGCTGTATACATCATTCAGCTAACTCCAATCGGGGATTTTTATAGTGACCGACTATTACATCAAGTATTGGACCAAGACTATATAGTAAAATCCCGCATATACAAAAACCTAATCCCCGAGCTAACGGCGCGGAGCGCTGTTCCGGGCGTAAGCCCGGGCCGAGAATACTAATTCCGCCCGGCTATTTACACCCGGGGAAACGAAAGCATTAGCGAAGTCTAAAGTTCATCAATGATCGCGGGCGTGGGTCACTGTGCGTGGTTCGATGGGTGATCATCTCACTGATCTGAAAATATGGCTGTTTGCCAGGAGTGAAGAAGGCAAAAAATATAAAAAATACATGTAACAAAGCTTGGAAAATCGTTTCACGTAACAAATTGTACAACTTTTTTGCAATTTTTAAACGTAAACATTTATAAGAATTGATATTGTATGAAAAATCCCAAAGTATTGGGCAAGTTTATTTCAATTGTTTATGCACGACTTTGTATTTAATAATATAGACTTTTTTCTGTGTTGGTGTTATGTACTCAGGTGAATATGATGTTTGTGACGTTATTCTGAGTGTACATCCACACCGGGGAAGCTTGAAAATATGCCTGGCCACGTTCGACTCCCACCGTGGCCAGGCATATTTTTCAAGCTTGCCCGGTGTGGATATACACTCAGAGTAACATCACAAACATAATATAGACTTTGTGCTTGATGTTCAAGTCTTTCCTATGTATTGTTTGCGAAAGTTTCTTCGCTAAATTAACTTTTGTAGAAATTCATGATCATGATAAAAAGGAAAGCAAATTATTTTCATTAGCGTCCTGCACGAAATAAATTTATTTCATTTCAAAGTGCGAGCAATAAGTTGAAGCTCGAGTTGAGAAGTTTATAAATATCGGCAAAAAGCAGTTAATTTCAATTCACATTTAAAAACGTTTTACGTAGAGTTTCGTTCTGAATTTTACATTAAAATAAAGCCCATAGAAACCAAAATAATATACTTATTCATATACTTTAGAAAATAATAGTTCTGTATTTAAAAGTGTTCAAATTTCATATATTTTTTGCAGGTTTGTACAAATTTAAAAAAACAATTATCGTGTTGCTATGACTAACATGACGTGCAACACGAGCCTGCGTTCAGTGTTGGCGTAAATATGAATACTTCATGTTGAAACAATATTTGGAAAATATAGGCGAGGGGTTGTTGCTTACATGTATTTCTAGTAGATTAAGAACCTACAGTTTGCATGGACCGCGGAGCCTGTTTTGAAGTGAGCGGGGGGGGTGGGGCTGGATAGCACGGGAGCTATTCCACGCAGACAGGGTGGATTTTCTCCGGTAATTTTTTATTATCCACCGAAAAAGTGGGGGGCATGCCCCCCCCCCGGCGCCGCTGGTTTGAAACTTGCCATTTAGACACCAATATTTGCTGCCGTAGGCAGTACACTATTCTTGACAACTGATTTTGGCGTTATGACTCGTGCCAGTTCCCTTGACCGAGTTATAACGATGCAGCTTGATTCAAAATATAGAAGAAATTTGGATTTCTGTCAGTCGGTAATTGCTCGTAAGTCGCCGTAAAGCTCACGTTCTGTACTTTCTGCCATGATGAAAAATATAAAAAACGATAATTTCTTCACAAATAAAAGACAATAATTTCGTTAGATAATTATTTGAAGGTACGTTTTAGCCAATTATTAGTATAAGGTGTTGACAATGTTTATTTATTAGTAATAAGTTTATATTGAACGTTTAAGTATCATGACAGAATGATGCAGGCTGCATGTTCAATGTTGGCAAATGTTGTTATGATTTACGAAGAAAAACTCAACCACGAAGGAAAACATCGAAATGACATATAGTGTTGTATAGTGTCGTATGGTCTTGTATAACGTTGTATAGTGTTGTTTAGTCTTGTATAACATTGTATAGTGTCGTATAGTTTTATATATTGCTGTATAGTCTTGTGTAACGTTGTATAGTGTCGCATAGCCTTATATATGATGTTGTATAGTTTTGTATAACGTTGTATAGTGTTGTATAGTGTTGTATAGTGTTGTATAGCCTTGTGTATTATTGTGTAGTGTCGTATAGTGTTGTATAGTCTGATACAATGTCGTATAGTCCAGTATAATTAACCGGCATTGTATAGTATCGTATAGCCTTATATAGTGTCGTATAGTGTTGCATAACGTTGTGTAGTGTTGTATAGTCTGTCATGTACACTCTTGTACTGTGTCGTAATTTTGATAGTCTTGTATAACGTTGTATAGTGTCGTATAACCTTTTATATTGTTGTATAGTTTTGTATAACGTTGTATAGTGTCATATAGTGTCGTATATTGTCGTATAGCCTTTATATGTTGTTATATAGTCTTGTATAACGTTATATAGTGTTGTATAGTGTCGCGTCGTATAGTCTTTTATATTATTGTGTAGTGTCGTAAGTGTTGTATACTCTTGTATAGTGTCGTATAGTCTTGTATAACGCTGTATATAGTGTCGTATAGTCTCGTATAGCCTTATATAGTGTTGTATAGTCTTGTATAACATTGGATAGTGTTGTATAGCCTTGTATAGTGTCATAAGATCGTTAATAAGTTCACCTGCTTACAAGATATGTAGCTTTTGACAGTTTTTTGTTAAAAAAAAATTATACAGACAGACAGGATATACAGGGTGTCCCAAAAAAACGAAAAGTATTGAAATCACCAATAACAATTTAATTGTAAGAATTTGAATGCCTTAGCGCTCTGTTGGTTTCCACGAGTGCATAAATGATTGACATAAGTAAATTTTATGCATAAAGAAACTGTTTAAGAACTTTTTTTTAATTCCCAGGAGCAGAAAATCGCGCACTTTACCAGGAGATATTCCTAACTAAATTCTAATACATGCACCTTGTCAATATTTTACGCATCATTACGTCCAGCTGTTTGGTAGGGCATTCAAATTTAACAATAAGTGATTTCAATAGTTTTCGTTTTTTTGGGACACCCTGTATAATACTGTTATGCGCTTCCATTATTAATAGTGTTATGTTATATACAGGGTGTCCCAAAAAACCGAAAACTATTGAAATAAATGTATTGTTAGAATTTGAATGCCTCATCACTCTGCTGAACACACACGTGCATCTGAGCTTGACGTAAGTAAATTTTATGCATAAGAAAAACCCGTTTGAGAAGCTGTTTTAAATTCCCAAGAGCAGAAAATCGTGTACTTTACAAAGATATTTTAATTTCTTAATAAGTCAAGTTTAATATATGCACCCTTGTTAATACTTTACGCATCTTTGGCACTTTGCGTTCGGCTTAGTGCTAGGGCATACAAATTTTAACAAAACGTTATTTCAATGGTTTTTCGGGGTTTTTTTTGGGACACCCTGTACAGTATAATAGTGTTGTTATGGTATACATAATAATGTTATACAGGGTGTATAAAAAACTGAACCCTTTCAAATACAAATTAGCTATAACGTATTGTAGTAATTTGACAGCTCTAATTGCTTTGAATTAATGATTGGGTAAGAACACAAGGAAATGAACTAATGAAGGAATACTGTATTTCTTTTAAATTTTCTAATTTTTATTGCTTTGAGTTTTGTCCCATGAGTACAAGACCTTGTATTCTTATCCAACCATTAATTTAAAGCAATTAGAGCTGGCAAATTACTACAATACGTTATAGCTAATTTGAATTTGAAAGGGTTCAGTTTTTTTATTCACACTGTATTTCCATTGTTAATAGTATTAACAGTCCTTGGCTCTTGTGCATTATATTTATCCATTATTAATTGTGTTATTAACTGTGAGTCATTCCAGGTTATTACTCTAGAAGTGACCACACTTGACTTTGTGTCTAAGAATATTAGTGACATTAACCTTAGTGACAATCGCATAATAAATAGCTAAATGTGTGGAGGTAGCCCTGCGGGTCACATTATACATATAGGCCTATTGTCGGAGAAATAAGCCGTGGAATGACCCATAATTTCTTAATTTTTATTAGCTACTATTGTTTGGAGGGCTCAGAAAATGACCTGTTTCATTACAGAGAACTGTTTTCTTAATTTTAAATAATTAGAATATTGTTGTAACATATATGCACGCGATTCTTACAATACAATAAAATACGATTTTCATTTTTTAAAAATTATAATGGTTTTGTGTTTCTATTATAGTGTTATTTAGTTTTGAATTATCCACGGATTATAAACAGATTTTGAACAACCTAACCCAATTTTTGGCCGCGGGCAGCAATTCCTTGCGTTAGTAACTTCTAGTTATGCAGACAACTAATTCAGTAAGTGTACTTGTACTTGATTTTTATAAAGTGCAGAGAGTCATGAAGCACGACTTAACATTCTGATCAAATATGTGAACCTATTAAACCTGACCTTGAATCGCAGTGTTGTATAGTCAAGTCCACAACTTACGCGTCCAAGTTCCTTCAAGTACGTTCTATACATTCAAATCCAAGTCCTTCATTTAAAGTCTAGAACTTCCGAGTCCTAAATGATTTTGAGTCCATGCCCTTTTATTTAATCTCAGTAGCAAATGTTATTTGCCAGTTTATTAAGGTTTTCTCAATTCATGTAATCCAAGATTGGCAAATATGCTGTACGGAATGCAGACATACATGCATGCCATACCTCTCTCGTGTTAAAAGATGGCTTAATTTAACTATACAAGTATTTATGGACATCATCTGGGAAAATTGATATGTATACAAGCAATTATTTTATTGTTTGCTGCATGCAGCTTTTTTACTAAACAATTTATTCCGATGGCACATTTCCATCATACTTATTGGAGTAGCAATTGAATATAAGATTTGTAACATATTTCAGAAAATTCATTTCCATCGTATTGTATCTTCTCTTTCTAGTCGTTTGATTCTTGAATAACAAACATAGAAAGCCAACTAACCAGGCTAGTCTCTTTAAGACTATTTTAGTTGGCTAATTTTTACCATAATTTGTGTTACATTATAAATTTTTTGTAAATTTTTCTTGAATGGTAATAAATTCTTAATTCTTCTTCATACGAGGCTATCAATTTATAACTGCCTTTTATACCAATTCCTGGAGGAATATTCACATTTCTACTCCATAGGATGCACCTAATTTGATAGAAAACCCCCATTTAATCCGTGTGTTGTGACCCAATATCGTTCACTTTCACTAAGCATGTCTTAGATCTGAAATATTTTGACGGGAAGTAACACTTCCAAGCACGCTGAGTTCAAATCGGAAAAGTTACCACTCCGTAGACCCACAGTTTTCTGACAAAATGCTATTTTATCTTCAATAATTTCACGACAAATTTTTCATTGTTCAACGATACGGATCGATGACTATACACCATTATGTCACTCAAAAGGACCAATTTCTATTAACCAGTCTTCCTTTTAATAAAAGACCGGTTTTGCTTCGAATCATTTTGAGTTATGCAACAACTTTGAGAAAGTACAGATATCGCTTTCTAAAATGCTCAGTTCTAAGCTCAGCTTTCTAAAATCACAAGGACATTAATGCGAAGTCCTTTGGCTATGTCACTGGCCTGAAAAATAACTCTTTTAACGACTGGCATGGTATTTAATACAAAAGTAACACGAAGCTAACGTAACGGCAAAAACAAGGCTAAAATGATCTGAAATATTGTCGATCGGTTGTTGGTAGAACACTTACGAAAAGATCAATCTTAAATAACCTTAAACCATAAGAATAAATGTTCAAATCAAAGACAAAGATCAGTCCCAAAGTATAAAATATATGCTCTGTAAACTTACGACGAAGTGAAAAAATGCGCGCATGAGCTGTTTATTTGGTGAGTTCAACGTATATGGAAGCCCTCTTAGTTCCAATAATATTTGCTTATCGCATAGTATAACACCAACTGATGAGTGATGTAATAGTTCAAATGCAATGATAAGTTATGTCCAGTTCTGCCAGACTTTCAACCAAAATGTTGTGCTTTTAATTGTTCGTATTTTTATTTGGTTCTTTTGTTGAAGCAAAATTTGGTGCTTTTGTTCATATTTTCATCTATTTCCTCTAGGGTATACTTTCAGTTCCCGTACACATTCGAACAATCACTTTGCCAGCTTTTATTCCATAATCTTGAACATTACAATTGTAGGAGAAAATTCCGTTTATGCGCATGCCTAAAACGAATGAACACGAAGATGTGTTTCTGCGCGTGCTTATATATGAAAAGTGTTCGTACCACAATCATAAGACAATCAAACAGCATTCAAAACAGGCAACACACCACGCGCGATTCTCTCGGCAACTATGATATTACAAAGTAATAGCATGGCATTACGGTCGATTAGTGATGAAATGTCCCTCAAGCCTCCAGAGGTTTAGTAACCTCTCTCGGCTTTCGGGTACATTTAATCACTAATCGCCCTGAATGCCATGCTATTACTTATAAATATATGTACGTATCGGTGCAATCTCGTTCCCAGAGTATGCCCGTTCGCGGGTTAGGTAGTGGCATGACTCTGGGGAAATCGATTTTTTTTATCCAAAATGAGATAAATGGCGCATGCGCTTTTATTGCTTATGTTTATTTGGCTTACTAAATTCGCGCGGGGACACGCTCACAATCGATATATTTGTTGATTCTCATCAGAATATAGTATACAAAATGGTGTTTTATACGTTTAAAGGTGCTTTAAATCGCACTACTATTTAACAGTTATTCTACGAATATTTTGTTTATGTTTTTATCTTCGCTCTTTCAGCCGATTACTTTTTCCAAAATATATATTTTTAACCATTTTAAATTTTAAAAATTCATTGCTAACCTGTAAACAATTTGTGGGAGTTTTTTCATTGTGTTTTTAATCCTGAAAGGGCTATAAAAAGCGAACAACTTGCCGTTTTCTCGTTCGCAAAACATCGGAAATTCAATTTTAGCCGCCATTTTGTTTTTCTCTACTAGCAGGATATGAGCTAATATCCTGCTAGTAGAGAACCAATCAGATTGCAGAATACCTCATATCCAGACCTTGTGTATATAACAATAAAATCAGCTGCTACCTGACGTGTACGACATGTTACTTGGCGTAACTAATTCTATCGTGATAATCATATCTCCACATAAATCAGAATGACCAAGGCATTTCTGCATGCATGATAGTACGATACAACTTAGGCCATTCTCAGAGGAGAAGTGAGGACTATACCGGCATGCAACGCGGTCAGGCGCGGTTTTTTATATATTGATTTCTCGCTCTGCGCCGTCATTGTCCGGTCGGCTTTCGCTGTGTTTACACCTCGAGGTTTCAAGAGATTCAGAAAAGATTTATCGAAAAAAAATTGTAAAATGGTGGATTTTTGCACTATGCATGGAAAAAAGCTTCGTTTTTGGGTGGACACGAGCTTCTGTGTGTTCACTGTGTGTCAAAACAGCCTTTAATCTTGATTCCGGAAGAATTACCGTGTGATGAACTTGAATGTCGTGAGGTTCATGTTTATAGTTTTACGGATAGTTCGAAGAATAGCCCTTTGTCCAGCTGTGGTTAAAAACGGGATAAAAATTGATGAAATTGTTCACAGATTGCGGTAGTCCTGCACTGGTAAAAATTCACTCTAGTTGTGTTTTTAAGGTGAGATGATTTTTATATAAAAATTAAAATAGAAATATAAACATGCTCCAATGTTGTTTAAATACAGCAGTGTTAAACGTATTTTTATTTCATATCATGTAGTTCTTCGACCCTAATGATCTACGGGAAGGAGGTATAAACAAAGAATATAGCAATGTTATGTTGTGGCAGTTTGACATTTCAACATCACCAACATCCCAAGCAATCCCACCATGTGACCCAGATAGTCAAGATGATGAGCTGGATAGTACTAGTGTACTTCTACCAACAATTACATCTGCCAACTGATTGTATAACTGTTTTAATTTACCAATAAACCCTGTTTGCCCTGACAGACATTCATACACACCGAATGATGGAAGAAGCGCCCAGTGGTAGCATTGTTGTAAAGAATGAAATGGAGGAAATTCAACACTATCGCAACACTATATATAAATGTATTGACTACTGTGTGATGCATTGC